ATAGCTATATATATAGTTCATATTATTTAATTCATTTTTAAATATATCACATATTATATGTAAATCTCTTTCTTATGAAGTACGACTTTCATGTAAAGAAGTGTATGACACTTATGAAACTATCGTCCTCAAATAAAGGTGCATTCATTCATTTATTCATTCATTCTCTCTCTCTCTTTCTTTCTTTCTTTCTTTCTTTCTTTCTTTCTCCCTTTCTCCCTTCCTTCCCTTCCTTCCTTCTTTCTTTCTTTCATTCTTAATCTCTTTCTTGATACCCCGCAGTACTTTAAATCTCTAGCTACGAACGTACCACATAACTGTTTCCATGAACGCTACGAACTACAGGTGTATAGAGTAGCAAACAAACCATTAATATCCTCTGTATAAACCAAGGCAAGCCAAGGCCGTTATAGTAAAAAATGTGCAACTTCACATTGCCTTGAAGAGTACATTATAGTCACCAGTTCCCAAAGAAAAGCCATTCTCCGAGAGAGCCTGGTATCAAGATATTTAAACTTAAAAAGGCGGGAAATTTAAATCATTATTACACATCAATTCAATATACTTTTATAAAGTGACAGAAAGGTCTGCTAAACTAGGAATCATACGATATTTATTCAACGATGGATCGATATAACAAGATTGCAATGATTGGTAAAGGAACATTTGGTTCAGCTTGGCTCGTCGAATCGAAGTTGAGTGGATACAAATATGCAATCAAGGAACTTAGCGTTCGTACTATGACAGCTGCCGACCGCCATCTTGCTTTGAACGAAGTCAAAATTCTCTCCACTCTTAAACACAAAAATATTATTCGCTACAAGAATGCCTTTGAGGAGGAAAGTAATTTTTACATCGTGATGGAGTATGCTGAAGGAGGTAAAACTTAATGAGGAATATCTCTTGCTATGTTGATAACATTTTGGTTTAGTGTAATATTATAACACCAAATGTTCTGTTAAGAAAACTAGTTGAACAAAAATATTACAGCATAATTCTTCCTTTGATAGCAAATCTCAAATTTAGATCATGTAGAATCACAAATAATCAGCCACCAAATTGCTCAGGGAAAATTTAACGTTCTCATTGTAGTAACTATTTATATATTTGATCAGGTGACCTATACTCGAAGATCAAACAGTCCACAAGTCTCTTTCCACAAGAGGTTAGTTCATCATGCAATGATTGATTGTTTCTTTGCGCACACAAAAGAATTGCAAAGTCGTTGTGCTCAAAAAAGTATGAATTGATAAACGAGTTCAAATCGTTAGACACTTGTCCCATTCTCTGCAGGTTGAAGTTTAAATACTCAGAATTTGGCACGTGTTTTAGAAAATGCATACGAAAATGCCGATAAAGATACTTCATATTTCGAAGTTTTTCCTGAAATATCATAGTTGAAACTTGTTCAGTACTAGTTCTTTAGATCTTGATGTTTCGATTACTTTGTTTACTACGCACTCCTATACTTGTCTTAAGAAATTATATTTCGTCTAGCCGGCCTCGTCCGATGCCGTATGCACTATAGTAGGCAATATAAAAATGTGTCTTGATATATTTCTCAGTCTTAAATATTGTCATTCAATGTATAATGAACACGTACAAGGGGTTTACACCGTAGTTCCTATTCGAGATGCTTATTACTCAGCTTATATTCTTTATGCATGCTTTGCTCGTGCTCGCTTGTACTTTTAATATCCATGTAACCTCTTATTTGCGTCTTGAATACTATGTATTTCAATATTGTTTTCTCCGTTGTGCACTGAAATATGTTGTGTTTTTTAATTCTCTATAGCAAGTTCTTGACTGGTTTACGCAGCTGTTACTCGCTCTCAAACACATTCATGGACTAAACATGCTACATCGAGGTAAACTATCAAACTCTATAATCACAGCTACAAAATACACCAATCCGTTAAGAATGATAATTATTATTATTTTATCACACTAACCTTCAAATTTCCTGCTTTCCACTAGAAGGATTTTTATTTGATATTCGACTTGATATGAAGTCGCTTCTGTGAAGGCATGCATTTGCAATGGGAGAGCGTACGTAGCAAGCAGTTGATGTAATGTATTCATAAAAATCACACCAAATACAATAGGTAGAACGACAATAGAATACGATAGATTCACACCTAATACAATAGATAGAACGACAATAGAATACGATAGATTTTCTGAATACATTACATCAACTGAGAGCTACGTAGGTCTTCCCCATTTTTGCAATGCATACGAGGTTTCCAAATTCTTTAATAACAAAGAAAGAAATTATACTTAAGGGAATAACATGTTGTAAAGAAAAGAAATAACGTTAGGTGGTTAAAAAGAATTCATACCCAAGGGCGTGTCTATTCTCGGAATCACACGAATCTGGAACACATACATGACATACAGTCCTTCATACTTTGATTGTTTGCAAAGCTTTGTAAAATTACGACACATTACATACACAATTCCTCGATTGCACGTTACGTCATCGCGGCCATGTTGTTACCATTTAACAAAAGATTTCTCATTAGCATCCATTGTTAACGGTACCACAATGGCCGCCATGTTTTTGTCTTTAAACTCTCTCGAGATGCTTGCAATCCATCAATAGGCCTATATTCAAGACAGACGCCTTGATGGTTTTCAGACTTATCAAATGCAAATTAGTCATGCGGTCTCTAATGGGGGCAAACATTAGAAGGATCGAGATATCATTTTTTAGAGAACGGCTTGTGCTTGAGATTTAAATATTTTTTAGATTATTTTTTCAAACTATCCAAAACATCTGCATGTAGTTTTAAGATTTTTACTCTTACTAAATTGTCCCTGACTTTTTGTTTTCTAAACTAGTGCCCAAAGCAGTCCAAGTTCGAGTATTTCATTCATCGGAAAAATTGATGGGTTGCAAGCATTCCCAAGAGAGTCAAAAGACAAAAGCATGGCGGCCATCGTGGTGCCGTTAACAATTGATGCTAATGAGAATTTTTTTGTTAAATGACACCAACATGGCCGCGATGACGTAACGTGCAATCGAAGAATAGGGAACACATAATAAATATCTAGAAAATATTAGATTAACATCAGCAGTTGAAATCTCCTGCTATGAAATTGTTTGTCCTCCCCTACGTAACCATTGCCTAGAGCCGTCAAATATAGTCTATGCATCTGAGCAGGTTGTTTTATCTGGGCCCGGTTGTACGAAGGGTGGACAGCGCTATCTGSCGGATAAATCTTATTTCCAGTGGGTAAAATTTATTGGATAACAGGATCGACTTATTCACTGGATAGGGCCATTTATCCGCACAACCGGGCCATGATCAATAACTTCCCATAGTTGATCGAAACAGTGAGGGGAGGGGAGGGGAATAATTCCGTCACATTTCTCTGATCAAACGTTTTCCATGAACCAGTAAACCTAAGATAAACACAATCGGAAACCCTTTCCCTACATTCATTTAACAGATCTAAAAACCCAAAATATATTCCTGACCAGAAGTGACGTCATCAAGCTTGGTGACTTTGGGATCGCTCGAATATTGGACAGTACCACTGACCATGCGCAAACTACTGTAGGAACGCCATATTACCTGTCACCTGAAATATGCCAACGGCAACCGTATCCTTGACAATGGATTTTAACTTACGTTTTTTCTTACTTCGCTGTTAAAGTTTGATGCACTCGAAAATGAGAGGTTTTGTTTTCTTATTGGGTGATTCAGTCATCCAAGAAGCTGCACGATTCATGTAAAAGGCATCTCTGGATAGCGAGACATTTTGTATTTTTCCCCGTTTTTGAATTATATTTTTATATTATGTTCACGTTCAGTTACACCGTACACTGATCGTAGGTGATTTGCCCGAGTTTTGCATCCTTGAACGACTGATGAACAGAAGAGCAAAATAATCCTGTTGAAGTATGAAAAAACATCACGATACAATATGTTTCACTGTAATATTTCTCAGTCTGTCTTACTTCCCATCAATCAAAATGACCAAAGAAAGCCACCATGACGTACCCGGCTCTCATATCCATGCAGTTTTAGTTCTGTCGTCTAGAGCGTTTTTCCTGACTTAAGATCAGCTATAACCAAAAGAGTGACATGTGGGCATTAGGCTGCGTGATGTACGAGATTACATCCCTCAAGCACCCCTTTACTGCTGACTGTTTCTCGTCTCTAGTTGTCAAAATCCTTCATGGGAAATACGCACCAATACCCAGGTAACCTGTGATTTTCTCTTTATGCATGGCTCTCAATGATCATATGAAAAAGGCACTAATTTGCAGTTGATCGATCTTTTGTCATCAAGTGAAAGGACCATAAATGAATAAGTGAAGTTGCCAAGTTTTACACTTCCTTTTCTACACCTTCATTTAAGAAGAACCTCCCACCTCAGCATCAAGCTGTGTTGGTATTCTCATAACAGCTATTGTTTTTAGTAAAAGAGCTATTGCTTATCAGGTGTCTACTTAAGGATCTCGTTTACATAATGGCAGTGACCATTTGCTAAAGGCAAGCCTTCTTCCTCTTATTTTCAAGAAGAAGGTCACTCCACCTTCGTACAGAAAAGGGCCTAAACAGCATCAGCAAAGATTCAAGTTTTAAGTAACGATTTGCCTTTTACAATAAGACTTTATTAATAATATTTTGGGTGTTTTGATATTTTTTTAGTGAGTATGGTCCACTTTTAGAAGATCTTATAGCGATTCTTCTGAGTGCAAACCCAAACGATCGTCCCTCGGCAAAGCAGCTTCTGTTTGTGCCCGCTATGAAGAAATACGTCGAAAAATACGCTGTGATAGCTCCTAGAGGGAAGATAAATAGCACGGTTACAGAATCAAACGAAAGCCAAATACAGAACGGATGTGGAAAAGCCAAAAGCTGGCACTTATTAGAACAAGAGAGTCAGGAAAAAGTTATGAGTAAAGGAACTGAAGTGGAAAGAGATAGGAGTGAAAGTGCTTCTTGTCATAAATCACAACAACCAGAACGTTGTCACTGTGAGGCGCCCTCGGTTGTAAAAATGAGGCCTGAAAAACAACTGGAAAGGAAAGAGAAAGTATATAGTGCATCTGAAGAAGAGATGTGCCGGGAAAAGACAAATGGTTGCCCTGCTGCAGCTATTCGCAAAGAAAGGCGAGCAGAAAGTATGTCATATGTTGAGATACTACGAAATGCGCAACGTGGTGGTGAAAAGTCTCCTGGAAGGCGAGGTATTCAAAAAGAAGCTAAATCTGTTGAATCATCAATAGGAAATAGTATAAAGATATCAATATTGAAAGAACATCAAAAGAAAAGGCGTTCCACGGTCGATTCCGGTGTGCGACCATTAAACGTTGAAATAAATTCAAACCAAAACAAGACAAAAGCAAGATATAAAACGAGAACTGAAAGGATTTACTCGGACGTAACGGGATCGTCTAAGTGTGTTAGTGGCATTAAAAAAGATTGCATTCAAGATAACACCAAACATAGAAAGTTTATTGGTGTCAAAGAGTTGAAAATCAAACCCAAAATGATTCAGAAATCTACTGAAAACAGCGGTTATAAAAAGAAGTCATTAGGCAAAGATGAAGTGCCGTCTTTATCTAGAGGACAACGTAGGTCATGCTCAGCGCACACACATGTAAGGAATGAACTAAACAGGAAAACGCATGATGTCGAGAGAAAGAACACAGCACGTCTACTCGTGTCTGACAAGGGCGACAGTCACAGCAGTGACACTGACTCCACCGACAGCGACGAAGAAGATGCGATGGTGAACACCATTACACAACCGCGTTCTCACAATATCACCCGCATGAAACCACCCCACGATAAAGATGGTACATCTAACAAGTCACGTGATAGAACCGCGTCCACGCCATGTGGTGGTGTAGAAGCAAACGCAAGGCGGCGAGTAGCTCGGGAGTCACTCAACTACCACATGTATCACTGTAAAAGACTTCGTGCAAAATCCACAAGGTCTACGTCTTCTGAGACACTCAACAAGGAAAACGTAAGTAATTGATAAAATATTAAAGAAATCATTTGGTCTTGATTTAAGGATTGTATTCTTACTAGAATTAGTAGCCATTGTGCCTCGGGAGTTTGTCTTTGTTTTGGTGCTTTCAAAGAGCGTGACTACGATYAATGCACTTGGCAGCAAAGACATATTGTCATGTATTATTCGTTTTACGAACCAATAACCACACATTTTTAACAGTTAGGTCTTAAGTTATATGCGGTTTTAGTCAGTTTCGTTAGACTCTAGATCTGTATATTGTGAACGATTTTGCATAAAGTCATCTTTGGATGTTATGAATATTTAGGCTCTTTGTGCGAGAGTAGGTCGAGAGGAAAGTAGATATACATGGAATTAATCGTCTCCTTAACCAAAATTAATGCCACCTTGAAAAGACAAAAAGGTTCAAGGCCGGTCGAGTCCACTGATAAAAGGCTAGGTCTTCAGTTTATCAAATACTAACTTATAGTTTACACAACTGATTAGGATTCTGTGCATAGTTTTTACCACGTGTCTAGACAGGTATAATATTAGCTGTGATAACTCTAGTAGGCAAAATTTGCATCTTTCTTTCAAATCAGTATTGGTAGCCCTTGGCTTTTACGCTTAGTAATGCGTTTGACCTTTCTTTCCGGCCTAGTGGTAGGCGTATTGTATTGTCATTTATGACGATAAAAACAGGTCAAATATATAAGTAAATGATACTACAATGAAAGTCAAAATGGGAGACCATTTTGCCAACTAAAAACTAAGTTTTTTAGAAGACTAAAAGACTTCTTTCTTTATGATGATAACAAAAAATCAGCTTTTATTTTTAGGCTTGTTTCTTTCGGATTTAAGAGGCTGTCTCTGTAAGAACCACATAACCATTTTGGATGAAAAAATAGATTTCTTTCAAACTTTGTGTGTGAGTGTGCCCTTCCAAGGTTATTTCCAAAACACATTTTGTTTTGTGTCTCGGCGCTTTTTTGCAAAGTTTCAGGGGGGGTCCCCTTGGGGGCCAAATTAGTGATTTTGACTACTTCTCATTCTTGAAATTTGGGCGATGTTTAAAAATTCGTAATTCCATAACAAATCATCACAACACTAAATCCTTCCATATTATAGTAGATATATATCTTATGCAAAGATGAGTGGCCTTAAAGTTAAATATGAACTTATTTATATCTAGATATTTTAATTTTACCCACCATCGATAATCGACTTTGGCCAGTTGGCTAAAATATGGCTTAGGGAAAAAAATCAAAACTCAAAAGTTAGACTTCGTAGGA